TATATGACCAATTAATAAAGCTCCCGCCATGTTTTTCTTGTTTTTCTTTTCCTTTAAAAAGATTATTTTTTATTCAACGAAAAGATCTGCACAGAATTTAGCCAATTAGAATTTACTTTCATAACATCGATTATTACAGGGTATTATCCTGATTGAATTTAGCCAATCAGAATTTTTTCTAGAATTTTTCATACCATCGATCATTACGGCATTTAGTATTTCCAAATTTGGTAAAATACTTGACTGTATTAGTGAGTGACATTTGACCCCCTGTAGATCTGCAATGTCCTGCCATTTTTCATTTTTCTATATTTGTGAATTCGATGTAACTGAGGACATTGAATTATATAAAGGCAGTGACTTTCATTAATCAAATCTATAGTGAGACAGTTAAAATTTTTTTTAAAAGTACTTTCAAATCATAGTGTTGGTGGTCACATTCAATAGAGTTTTCCTGGTCCTAACGAATGTTTACTGACTTCTTATTTATTGTAAGATCTGGCAATCATATAAAAATACAACATTAAATTAAAGTGATTGGATCTCATGGTTGGACGAATAATATTCTGCTATATTATTTTGGATAGCTTGATCCGGGATCCTGTAATTTCACTTTAATATTTATGAATAACATTTCTTGTTGTGAATTACAAAAAATCATCATCATGTATACAAAAAATCAAGAATGTAGAGTAATGGTAGTCCTAGACATGACTCATTGACTTAAAGTTGATTTTGAAATTTATATAAAAAGTAGAATTAAAATTTGTATCTTTTATTTTAGACTGAATTCAAATGTGGATTAATTATATTGGACCATTCTGTCTGTAGTAATCCAATATTAATGCAGACACAATTAACTCACGAATTAGAACAGCAATAGCAACAACCACAACAAATTTTTCCAATTAATGATAATAATAATATAATAATATTTATAAACCATCAAAAATAATATTACAAAGACCACAACAACAGCTTTAATCATCATCTGATGTAAGAACAAACAACAAAACAATAATACATTGATTCATTATTTGGATATTGCTAAGAATAATCTTTAATACTTTCATTGAAGCATTATTACATATGGATTCAATTATTGTTATTACTGAAAGAATTCTTATTGCCATTTTAAAATGTGACAATTTTTTCAAAATATGATTTATATATATTTATTTTGTGTAGTTCTTTTTCCTTTACAGTATTTTATAAAATCAAAAAAAAAATTTTAATTGTTATTATTTTTTATCTTTGCTTAAAAAAAATTTATTAATGATAATAATAATATATTTTATATAAAAAATTGATAATTTTAAAAACCTTAAATCTTTGATTTTTTTTTTTAAAAAACTATTTCGTCACCAAATATAAATATTTTGAATGGTCTAGGACCTCTCCAATCCCTCATCAATTGATTTAAAGATTCATCTTTAATAATATTAACTTGATCTTCAAATTTTAATGTATTCAAACTTTTTGATAATGATTTATTTAAAACAGCCAATATTTTAATGCCATTTAATATATAATCACCTGAATAAAGATTAGAAAATGAAATATGCTTTAATTTAGAACAACCATTAAATATTCCAATTAATCGACCAATTTCTTTATTCCTGTAACATATTGACAAATATTCCAAATTTAAGCATTGTTGTCCAATTGATTTAGCAAGTTCACCCAAATTAACCCTGTCATTTGGTTTACCACTAATTGACAAATGTTTAAGATTGGTTCCATTCAGTGTAATAAAAGTCTTCAAATAAAATAGAATTTCTTGACCAGCAATTTTCATATTTAAAACCTCAAGGCTTGGAAGTGAAATATTTTTTAATTCATCTAATTTGTCTCTACACAAGTAGTCATGACAATTAAATACTGATAGTGATTTTAAATTTTGAAAGGTTGATGGTAAAAAATTTAGAGTATTATTTCCATGACTTTCATAACTGATTATTGAATTTGAATGAATAGAAATTGCCCTTTTTAAAACATCCGAAACTTTTATATAATAATTGTGTGAATTATCAATTATCAATTGTTTAATTTGATTTTGTGCTGAGATTAGCTGAGCAAGATTATGATTCACATTATTACCATTTACATAATATATTTTTAAAACTTGAATATTTCTGCATATAATTGTTAATTTATCTAGCAATTCAGTACTAATATTATTACAATGTAATTCACGAATGTTTTGAAAACAAGCAACAAATCTATGATGACCTAAATGACTATTTGCAAAATATCCATTGATTTTAAGCTTTCTGATGGTCGAATGGTCTATAATAAAGTTTACCAAGCCTTCTTCTAAATAAAAGTATGTACAAACTGATATATCTTTTCTAATTTTGAGAATATCCAATTCATTTATAAATCTGGCATAATTGTATAGTGGTGGACTTGCCAATAGTTCAGATGACACTGGATTGTATTTGTTCACAAAGAAATCTTTATTTTCTACCAGTAAGCAATTAATTAATACTCCAACAGTTCTTACAGAATAGATTGGGCATTTCCATAAAGTTGGGATATTAATGTTGTGCCATTTTTTATTAACACAAACACAAGAAGATAGTGTCTTGTAATCTTCTTCAATGTATTTAAATATTTCAATTAAGAGTTCCACTGGTAAGGTTGTTATAAGCATTTGTATTTTTTTTTTTTTTTTTGAAGTTAAGTTACGCATAAGTAATAACCTTATAAAGGTTTGATCATCACATGTTTAATTCCACCAAAAAATATCAGGAAGATATTTTAATACAAATGAAATAATAAACATGTATTTTTCCACAAAAATATCCGCCAAATCAATTTCTAAATAAGGATAACACGCACCCAACCCACCAATAAAATTGGATATTTTCATGATGCTGCGCAAATTTGCGGATATTTTTGCGGAAAAATAGATGATTTTAATGAAAGATTATTTAATACAGGAAAAAATAGTGATGTAAAAATTTATGCTGGTGTAGAACAAACATTAAAGAAATTAATGCACATTCATTTATCATATGTACTTATTGTTCATTTTTCAATAATGCATCAAAAGAAAACTAATATTATACTATTGATATAACAACCATTGGTGAACTAATTTTAAAAGATATACTCAAGTGGGATTATTAAACTATATTTATAATATATATAATATTAATAATATTTTTTAATTAACTTTTAAAAGGTTTTTATATACATGTAAAATTGAATTAGATAATTATACTGAAGTGGATATATTGAAATTGTATATTGCAGCACATGAATTTGGTCTTGAGTCACTTATGTTCATACAATGAATTATTTTACTAATAAATGTGAGGGTTATGTGAAAATTTTATTTCAGTCAAGAGAAATTGAATCATTAGAAAAATCAATTCTATTGACAATGCTTGAAAAAATGATTTTTTTGTTGATGAAATAGTTTAACAAGACATCAAGGAGTCAATAACATTGAAAATTGGACACTATAGTGCAGGACATCTATAATGGTTAATGATTATTACATGATCAACAGACTGTAAAACCAAGTTTGTTTCGTGTCAAAGTAAATTGTTATCCCGCATCTTTCTGAAAAGAACCGACTGATGAAGAAGGAATTGCCAAATATTTTATAACGAATTGTTGTCATTAATTAATTATATAAATATTTTTTTTTTTTTGAATTCAAATTCTGCCGATCAATTTGAATCCCTGCCTGATAAAAGAATGCCTAGCCTTTTTCTTTTTTTCTTTCAATATAAAGGAAATAAATACACTCACTATAAAAATTTTCATGTGGTGAAACAAAAATATAGTATAAACTTTTCATGCAAGTCAATTTTATGTCCAGTTTTGGAGAGGCGCAATTCGCAATTTCGCAATTTCGCAATTTCAATTGCAGACAAAATTCATTATTGCGCTATTATCATTATTACATTCATTGTTTTTTTCCTTTCGTTAATAATAAATAAATCTTATAAACATTCTCTTTCATTTTCTTTAACAGTAAATTAATTTAATATTAATTAATTTAATAAATAAGTAAATAACCTTCTCTCCTAAACTTTATTAGGAGCGTCTCCTTTTTGCCAAAAATATTTATAAACTTAATATTCGCACCACTCCCCATACAATAAAAATCTCACCACAAATTTTTTTTTTTAATTTATACTTGGGAACTTCAAATATCATAATCATTAACATCCATCTATCATTTTTATCAGAACAAGCTTCACTCCTTACATCTTTTTTTTATTAAACCTAAAATATAACAAAAAATAATAATAATAATGTTGGGTTCAACGCAGGTATTTAATAATTATATACGCACAATCTTTTTTGTTTTTTTAAAGAAAACTAAATCATTAAATTATTTTATACAATGTATATATAGGTTGAGGACACATTTAAACTGGAAAGCAAGTTATCAGCAAAAGCCACATCCACAGCAATAAAAGCCAAAACCACAACCATAACATCAAAAAAAATCTCATCTCATAACATTCAAGCATTTAGATTGACAAGCTCACAGTTATCTGTATCATCCTTATCAAGTCATTCAGCAAGTGATGTTAGTGACGATGAGGTTAACAGGCTACCAACAAAAATCGCAAAACGTGTCAAATCATTCCAACCACGTACTTCACAACTTGATCGTGAAGCAATAGAAAATAACGATTTTAAACCTCGTGGAGTCTTCACTTTTTTTTGGATTGCAATGTCATTCTATTTGATGAATACTGGTATACAAAACTTTCAAACAATTGGTCAATTTGTAGGTTTATCGTTTTACAAATTGTTCACAAAAGATTTCCTAGTGTTGATGATAAGTGATGCTTTTATGGTTGGATCAATGTTTTTTGTGGTTATCCTACAAAAACTCATTTCTATTGGTTGGATTAGATGGCGTTATACTGGAATGATTATTCAACACGTATTCCAAACAATATTTTTATTTGTGCCCATTTATTGGTCATTTTTTAGAGGTTGGCCATGGGTACAAAGTGGTTTTTTCCTACTTCATACGATTTCAATGTTGATGAAATTACACTCATATTCTTTCTACAATGGTGAATTATCAATTTGGAAAAATTATTTATCAGAATTGAAAAACGAACATTCAAACTTAATTGGATCTTCCAAAAAACATGATAAAGAAGTATTAGTTGATGATGATGATAGCAATGATAATGATGAAAGTATTGATTCAAAAGTTCATCAATTAAAAGAAGTAATTAGTCAAGTTGAAGGATACCTCAAGAGTCCTTTGGGAAATACACAATATCCAAATAATATCACTGTATCAAATTTTATAGATTTTTTGTTGGTTCCCACTTTAGTTTATGAACTGGAATATCCAAGAACCAAAGAGTACGTAGTTAATAACTGATGTGATATTTTATATTCATTTAATTTTTTTTTACTAATAATATATTTATTCATCATTATTATTATTATTTAGGATTAGACCTTGGTATGTTTTTGAAAAACTTTTAGCAACATTTGGAACATTTTTCTTACTCTATGTAAATACACAGTCCTACATCATACCTGTTTTACTAAATGCATCATCTACATCTGTTTGGGAAATGATTGTAAAAATGTTGTTTCCATTCATGATCAATTATTTATTATTATTTTACATTATTTTTGAATGTATTTGTAATGTATTCGGCGAATTAACTAGGTAAAGATTTCGTTATTTCACTTATTCATTCGTTCATATATATGTGCGGGAGAATATTTTTCATATTAATAATAATATATATAATCTTAAACTATATAGATTTGCAGATCGTAACTTTTATGATGACTGGTGGAACAGTGTGACATTTGAAGAATTTGCACGCAAATGGAACAAACCAGTTCACCACTTTTTATTAAGACATGTCTATCAACAATCCATTGAATCATACAAATTATCAAAACGTGATGCCACCTTCATGACATTTTTCTTATCTTCACTAATTCATGAATTGGTGATGGTTGTAGTAGCAAAAAAAATTAGAATGTATTTATTCTTTTTCCAAATGCTCCAATTACCATTAATTTGGTTGGGTAATTTGAAATTTGTTAAAGAAAGGAAATGGTTAGGTAATGCATTTTTCTGGTTTGGTATGTTTGTTGGCCCCCCACTTTTGGGTGTTTTGTATTGTAGAGAAGTATTTTTCGAGTAATTAATAACAAGAGAACATTTTGTATAAATTAATATAAATTAATGTATTAATAAAATTAATTTATTTATTTATTTATTAGTAGTTTGTTATTTAAAATACATAAATTTTATATATAATTTAAAATAAATACAATCGATATATGCCAAATCCAAAAATTTCATACCTCCTAAATTGTATACTTTAAAAGTATAGAACTCAAGAACCACTATAAAAATTTATTGATAGGGGCAGATCTATTCTCAAAAAATTTACTTGTTGTAGAGTTCTATTCCTTTTTATATACACAAACGTGTTATTTTAATACCAAAAGGTCATTTAATTCCCAAGTAAAACGCAAAAGAATTCTTTTGCAGTTTTAGAGCTCACTGTGGGTTTCAAAATAGAGTTTTCCATTGTTTCTTCTACTAATTAAGTGCCAACAATCCAATAATTTTTCGTGAATACATTTATATACATACTGCAAGTTTTTTTAGGAACAACATATATAAATAATTATTGTTATTTATTTAATATGCATACGAATATCTAGTACAGGTTATGTTTTGACATAGTGATAAAATATTTGCAGCAGCGTTATAATTATTCAACAGCATTGTTGTAATTCTTTGCAGCGATGTTGCAATTATTCACAGCAATGTTGTAATTGTTGTTCACAGCAGCGTTGTAATCTTTTGCAACATTGTTGATACCTTTGATCCTGGATGGCGTGCCGTAAAAAAGGAAAGATAATATATAATAATGTTTTTCGAATATTGGAATTAAATTGTCTGCTTACTATATGCCCAAAATTTTATAAAAAGTTATTGACTGCATCTAATGCATTTATGTCTTGTCCGTATTTAATTTGATTTCGTTTTTCAACCAACTAACCACATGCAATATTTCCTATTACTATATACATACGTAATTTATTTATCACTATAAGATATTTTAAGCTGTGAATATATTTGCTAATCTGATAAAAATTCAGATCCATCAGAGACAGAGAGCGTTTTGATTCATAAAGATTTTTAAAACAAGGTTCAAATCTGTGAACAATGCACTTCTGATGACATATATGACTTTTGATAACGTCTGAATGATCTAAATAAATTGTAATAATCTTTTTTCAAAGCAACAATAAAGAACTTTAATTCTGCATTAAATCTCGCATAGTTGGTTATGTAACGTTTGCTTTCCAATAGTTTAACACAAAGAAACTTTTGTCTTCTGCAATAAACAATTAATTAACACTTTGGTGTTGTCTTCAAAAATAAACGGATTATCATCATAGTTGTGGAATGCTGATACCATAACATTGTTTATTAACAACGATAGTTCTTTATAATCATCATCTTCAGTATATTTAAACGTCTCGATTAAAAAAGTTCAAGAGGTAAAAAACATTTTTTTTAAAAAAAGATAAAAATCAAAATTTCAGGGTTCAAAAAATACCCTAATACGATGAAGTGATCACCAAGGTCCAGTGTTGAAAATTCAGCGGGAGGGTGTAACGTTACACCATAATTATGTGTGCACGAAATAAATTAATTAAAATTAA